TCTCTGTGAGTTAAAGACCAGCCTGGTCTACAGAAAGAGTTCCAGGACAGGCTCCAAAGCCAGAGAGAAACCCTGTCTCCGCAAAACAAAATAAATAAATAATAAAAAAAGAAGGAAGGAGGGAGGAAGGAAAGGCGAGAGAGAAGAGAATAGGCAAGGGGGGAGGGGAGGTCAGGGGAGGGGAAGGAGCTGCAAAGTTTATCTTTTTAGAGATGGTTAATAATCCTGGGGCAAGAGGAAGGATCGCCAGTCACTACAGATGGCAGATCTGGGTCCCACATCGCTGAGGGGTTTGGTTTTGGTTTTCAAGAAAGGGTCTCTCTATGTAACTGGGTCCCACATGGCTGAGGGGTTTGGTTTTGGTTTTCAAGAAAGGGTCTCTCTATGTAACTGTCCTGGAACTCATTCTGGAGACCAGGCTGGCCTCGAACTCACAGAGATACACCTGCCTCTGCTTCCCCAGTGCTGTGATTTACCATGCCCAGCTCTGTTCAGCCATCTGCGGTTGGGGACCTTCAACAGTAGCTTTGCATGAGCACGTGGCTTGTTCTAGGTAGGAATGGAGGTGCAGTCGGGGTTTACAATCCACAGAGAACTTCATTCTCTTCTATCCTACCTAATAATGCAAACCAATTTTTAGACAATTCTTTCTTAGAGACAAAATGCCAAGACCAAGGAAGGAGGCCTGAGACACACCCTCCTGTGACCCAGGTGCTTTGGCTTTGGGTCTGGGTCTCAGAGGCATCAGGCAGATCCAGGAGACAGCTCAATATCAGAGCTTGCCTGGCCTGCACAAGGCTGGGCTCCAGTCCTAGAGGGAGGGGAGGAAAACATGGAGCAGCTCTTCCTACTGGACACTCACAAAGTCACTCTGCCATCTCCAGCCTCTGGGGCCCTGCAGAGAGAGACCTTCAGACTGAGAGTCTCGGCTACCATAAGGAAGACAAGAATTTGCCATCAGGTCTCTCAGAGGTCTTGGGCCACCTCTCAACTGTGCCAGTAAGACTGCTGGATGACACAGAGAGTCCCTATCTTCTGGGCAGGTACAGGCTCCTTTTCTGGACAGGGTGATTGATGGAGCTGCCCTATGGATTGAGTTATATGAGCCTCTACGATGTCCCTGACTCTGTCACCTTAATTTAGGACTTACGCTCCACTCTAAATGAGCAAGTCATGCAGAGCAGACTTTGTCCTGTATCACTCTGGCCTCCTGCACCCTCCAGCAGCCTCCAGCCTCCCCCTTGAGTTTCCCTTGTGAAGTCTGACTGGGTGTCTCAAGGTAAGGTCAGTGGGTTCTGATGAGGGCAAGGCAGCCTCCATCAGACCCTGGGTGAAGTGTTGGTAGGCGCGTTTCTGAGGAGGATGCTGTCTGTGGTCCAGTAGTCTCTTCTATGCAGCCATAGCTGTCCTTCCTAGAAGTTTCATTTGTCACACACTGGGGTAACAGTAACAGTCTCCACAAGCAGATGAGGAAAAGATTTTAAGCTGCCAAGTGAAGCTGGTCTGAGGCAGATGAATGCTGTCTCTTCTCCTTCATCGGGGCTGAAAGTCTATTTGTTCATTCAGACATAGCAAAACACATGTGAACCCATAGGGCAGGACCCACACCCAGCACAGGTGGGCTGTCTTGTCACCCTGTCTGGAAATGCCAGGTGGCAGCTTACCTGTGTAGCTCCACTCACTCTGGGCCTGGACACCCAGGAAGAACAAGGTCACCACAGTCACCAGAACCCTCATGGTCGATGCTGAAGGCCTGAAAGCTGCAGAGGCTCTGGGCAGCGCTTCCTTTAAAAGCTCAGAAACTGTAAATAACAATTTACCAGGTCCAGCTGGCTGACCCGCCCATTGCGGCACCCACTGAACAACAAAACCTCCCCACAATGGCCCTTCTGACTTGGTGTCTTTTGCACGTGTCTCACCTCCTCCCCGGCTTTACCATAGCCAATTAACCCACGTCTGGTTGTTCAACATCTTTGCAAACTCAGTCCAGGGGCCACACAGTGCAGCCATTGTGGACCTTGAGTGATGAGTGATCTGTGGGGACGGGAAGAGCCCGAGGCACCTTCACCTGGAAACAGGGGCTTCCTGGAGGCTGGCATTTCCTCTGCCCTTTCTCCTGGCTGCTAAGGGGAATCACCAGAATCTGAAAATCTTGCCAGATACCAGTTGATATTTCCTGCCTGTCCCAGAGTGGACAGAAAAATATCCCTAATTCCTGGGCGTGTGTGGTGGTGGTGGTGGGGGCAGCACTGTCGAGAGCTCCTATGGAAATTGGGGAAACTGAGGCACAGAGTAGTTAGTAACTGTTCCCTGGAGATTCTTGGAATAGGTCCAGTGCCTTAGTGGGATCTTCACAGCAATGGTTGTTCCGGGTTAAACGGCAGCAGGGAGCTCTCTGAAGTATTCAACCCCAGCACCTCTCAGACATTTGGTGCCAGGACATTTGACATTCCAGCATCTCTCAGGCTGGAGACAAGTGAGCAGACAAGGGGCAGGGTTGACCCCAGCCCCCGCCCCACCCCCAGCCACAACTGGGAAGATAGTTGGTACTCCAGCTTTGGGCAAGAAATGGAGGAGCCCAGGTGGAGGTAGAGATAGGTTTGTCCTCCACCTAAATCAGCCCTGGACCTTGGAGCCTGGCTCTTGAGCTACATCTGCACACACTGCATGGCCTTGGGGCCATGGAGGAGCAGCTGTGGAGGAGGCGGCTGTGGAGGAGGTATGGATAGGTTTTCGTGTTTCTCCTGGGATTTGTCCTGACAGTGCAATGCTCTTAGGCACACCTACACCGAACCAATGAGTTGTCTAATCCTTGTGCAGCCACATGGCTAGTGCAGGAAAAACTAGCATTTACACCTGCTGACGAGCCGGCATCTCTCATGCCCTTTAGTGTGGTAGAGGCAGACAGGTGGGACTCCAG